CCTGTATACACTTCGTGACTTTGTTCCAGGTTACCGGGCCTGTATACACTTCGTGACTTTGTTCCAGGTTACCGGGCCTGTATACACTTCGTGACTTTGTTCCAGGTTACCGGGCCTGTATACTTCGTGACTTTGTTCCAGGTTACCGGACCTGTATACACTTCGTGTATAATTTACAGAAAAAACTGACCCCAAGGACTGAAAACTCTGACCAAGCAGCTGAAAACACATGAGAATATCGTGTAAATGAACAACAGACACAGCAATAGATTATTTTCATACTCTATTTTATTAGAAAAAACACCAAAGGGGGGTAATTTGTTGAGTTTTATTTTTTTTAATACATTTAAAGTAAAAAACTTAATAGAGACAAGTTTTAAAACAAAATTGGCCCCTGTGATCAATGACAAAATCAAAAGGAGTCAGTACAGTCCAGGATTAAAAGTCTGGAAGAGGGCTTTCCTGCATCAGTCCCACATCATCTTTCCTGTCCGTACACATATATATATCGAGTCCCACTATTCTGCAGGAACTTGGCTGAGAAGCTTCCCCTTCTTCAACAACATAAAGGAATCTGTAGAGAAAGCAATAAGTAGCAATTAAAGAGCATGTCAACTGTACTCTTTTTAAGTTGTTTGTATTATATTCATAATTCTAATCTAAATCATAGCGGCAAAATCATGTTTAGTGCGTTTTAATAGTAAGTTTCAAAAGCGACATTCAAACGCTGTCTATGTGGCATATCATAGTACTCAGCCTGAATAATAAAATTTATAGGAAGAATTTATGCTGCAATCAAATTTCTAACTCACCATAGCATAGTCTGTTTTTTCAAGGTTTTGTACCCGTCATGAAAACTTCACCATGTCACCCTCCTTGGGGAAACAGGTTTCCAGAAGCAACTATGGTCTCTGCTGGTGATTCCTCAATAAAGGCTTTATAGAGCACAGTACTGACACAGTAAACAAAAATGTGATTTATACAGTTTGGTTGATTTGCATCATGGGAAAGGCAAAGTGCTGGTTTCAGTTTTATGTATGTTTTTGTGAGAGAGAAGGTTTCTGAATGGGGAAGATAAAAGAAGTAGACTCACTGTGACCTGTCCTCAGCTCCAAGTCAAAGCTGTTACTTTGGTTTTCTCATCTCTTTTCTGCTCTGGTTTTTCTCTTTCAGCCTGTGTCAGTTCTCCTGCCTCCTTCCTTTTTTTTTTCCTTATCGCGTTTGGCCTGTTCTGACTTCCTTCTCTTTTCCAGAAGAGCTTTGTCATCGTCAGGGTCTTCTTTCTTTTTCCGCCTAAACAGGGTCGAGCGGTGGGCCATTGGCCTACAGATGAAACTGAAGGAAGTTTTAATCAAGAGAAATTTTTGCTAATGGAATGCTAAAACTTTTATGAACGGAACGTACAGGCAAAGCAGCCTTAATGGAAACCTGCGCAAGAAGGAAACCTGTCGTAATGGAATTTTCCCGCTCGCCCCTTCTCCTAAATTCCTCTGTCAAAGACGGAAAATGTTTAAGAAGCAGTTTTATCTGGCTACCTAGCGATTCCGTCTTAAACAGTTTTGACAGTACAAAGAAGTCAAGACATCTTATTAAGTTCAAGGCTGTTGATTTTCATAAGCTTACACTAGCTGCTAAGTCTTTTAAGTCGCATAAAGAATACAAAAGTTATTCATGGCATTTTCTCAAAGTTGGCCACTTTAAAAAAAGTAAAAGGACACATTTCCTACCTGTTCCACCTGACAGTAAATTGTGTAATTATCAAATACAACATGGGCTGACATTTTAAAAAAAATTTAATTATCTAGATCTACCCAATCCTAACCTAGATCTAGATCTAAATCTAGCCTTTGTTAGTATTATGTAGTGTAAACAAGGGCAATTTCAAGAAGTCTGGACCTTGGCCTTTGAACTAGATATATATTACATCTATCAACTATTAGGCCTATCACTCAAAATAAAAATTTAACTACTAGTTGAGATTTGGGAGAAGTAGATCTAGTTCTTTTACAAAATATACCCATCATAATTTAAAAGACAGCATTTTACACGAAAAAATAAAAAAATAATCATGCCACAGAGAAATTGTGTCTCAAGTTTCTCCCCGGTCACAGCTTTTGCGTCTCGATTTCAACACGGACAACGCTTCCGGTGACCCGTGTGCAAACATAAAATGTTGCCCCCTTTGGAGACACCACGTCAATCTCCCGTTTTAATTACGTTGTCCAAGAATAAATAAGAGAACAGACGTGTTCCAAACCGAAAGTACAACTAATGCTATGATGTCAGCGAATTTGGGGTCTCTAGCTATCACGCAGCGACGGAATTGCCAATGACGCGATGTAGCCCGAAGAGAAAAATCGAGACACGAAGGCGGGACCTCGGAATAAATCGCGCCTAAACCTAATATTTATGTATATTTTTCGCGTTTTTTGCTTCATATAGTCATTACAATGTAAAATACACGATATACAAGACAAATTAGGGAAAAAGAGAGGACTTTTGTTAGCTTTAGACCTAGGGGTTTCTGTGTCCCCATTGAGACACTAAATCTAGAGCGGAGCTCTGTGACGTCACGTGTTCAAACGATGTAAACAACATAAAAAACCAATTATGAATAAACCCCAAGAATAATCTCGTATATAAACATATTTTTTGTATGAAACCATAAAAAAGTCAAAATAAAGAAAAATAAAATGCTTCACTTACCTCAGAGAGTCCAGGTCGGAAACGAAACTAGAACTGTGGTGTCTCGAAAGCGGGCATCCGAGTCGATAAAAAATTGAAAAAAAATACTTCGAAACCGAATTTCACAAAACTTTTGCTTCCACAGCTTCGAGAATAGTTGGTCTATCACACAAAACGTGTATTTTCATCAAATTCCTTTTTAAATTTTACTTATTGTGTTGCAAATGTAGAAAATGCCTTTTCAATGACTTTCATGTTTCCTGCCATGTGCATGTGTGATGGCATGGTGTGCGCGTGCTAAGTGTGTTTGTGTGTGTGCCCGCGCTTGTGTGTGTGTGTGTACAACTTTGAGAAGGTAAATTTATGGAATGAAAATTGCTGAGATTTTGGATGGCGTTCCTGAGGTTAATTCTCGGAAGTGGCTATTCTCATCCGGGGTGAGAATAGAAAAACGATCTACCTCTCACCCGGGTGAGACTTGCCAGCGTAGGCTATTCTCACCCGGTGCGAAACAAGACCTGCTTTTCCTCATTTTGGAATACTGTCTATCGGTGTGGATGATCAAATTGATAAAAGCCAAGAAAAAATTACGTTATAGCACAAAAGTAAGTCTAATTGATCGTCTTCAAAGATGCTATGACAATTTCACTGTTCGAATCGAGCCGAACTACGCGGGTCGCCATTTTGTTTTGCCCGGAAGTTCTCGCAAGATCTACTCCTCGCCTCTCTCTCTCTCTCTGTCTCTTTCTGAATACTGTCTATCGGTGTGGACGATCAAATTGACCAAAACAAAGTTTTAAAATGATGTTAAAACACAAAAGTAAATTAATTTGGTTGTCTACAAAGATGCTACGGCTATTTAACTTTTCGAATCGAGCCGAACTACACGGGTCGCCATTTTGTTTTGACCGGAAGTTCTCACCCTACTCCTCTCTCTCTCTTTCTCTCTCTCTCTTTCTCCACTGCCCACAGACAAAATTGTACGCTTTTAGTAGGCTACAATTGTAATGGAACGTTTGTACACGGCACAGAATTCTACAATTTTTCTGTTATCACAGTGTAGAATTCTGTGGTTTAGGGTGAACGCAAAATTTGGTGGCCTAGATCTAGGCTATAACGGTGAACGCGCACCGGGTGAGAATAGCCAAAAGACTCGCCTGTACTATTCTCATCCCGGTCTGAGAATGCAACTAGGAAGTGCCTATTTGCAGCGCCCAGTGCTAAATAAAACGCCGCATTGCGATTCTGAACCCTGATCTAAAATCGATAAGAGTAGGCTTCGGCTGCCACCCGGGCAAAATTCAAAATTTCCTATCAACTAAAAAAGTTGAATGTGCCCTGCGCACCCACATGACCTTATGCAGACGCGAGCGCTGTAAAACACTTGCCAAAAACCCCACCTGAGTGTGGAAAGTGAGCCTGCTCGTGTCCTCAAATATGGACGGGAAAGGTGGGAGTCGGTTGAGACAACTAGCAGCTCTCACAGACACCTGATAGACACACGTGACATAGTGTTGGAGCTGTTGCCTGACTGTGACCGATTAGTTGTAGTCGGTCCTGTTTATGTCTGTCCTGATTCGAAGATTCCAAGTTGTGCAAGGTCTAACTCTTAATATTTAATTGTTTTTCCTTTTTCAGAAAGCGTTCCTTTTCATCTAGCAGTTCAGACAGTGACGATGATCTGATATTAAGAGCGAAAAAGAGAGAAGAAGAAGAAAAGAAGGCGGAAATGGAACGTCAGCGTTTAATGTAAGTTGGGTTTTGGGTTGTTGTTGGTTTTTTTTTGGGGGGGGGGTTGAGAGGGTAGTAGCCTGATTGCTAGCATTTTTCGCTCCTGGCTTGATTTCAAGAATGTGCTAAACGCGTTGTTTGGATTTCTTTAGTTGTTTGTGGCGTTTCATGAAAGTATTTGTGTGCACGTGCGCATATGTACGAATGTGTGTGTATGTGTGTGTGTGTTGTGAGTGTGTTTGTGAGTGTGTGTATGTATGTATGTGTGTGTGTGTGTGTGTGTGTGTGTACACTTTCCAAACTTTTGCTGAAATGAAAGTTGTTGTTTTTTAAAGACCGGTGTCATTGGTGTAGAGGTTAGACGCTTCGTCGTCTCCTGCAAGAGACCCAACTTCGATTCCCGAGCGAGGGGAAACTCATTGAGTATCCTGATCATTCGCCTGGGATGTTGAATCCCTCTCAACCGCGGTTGGCTCTGCCTCCTAAATGATCCAGATTGTGGTGATAGAGGTACATGTATTACACACACGTACATATTTTAAGTTCTGAAAACAGAGGATCGGAAAGAAAGATTCGAC